GGTTTCTCCGAGCTCACTAATTTATTTCCAAGAAGGTGTGTGGAAGACATGAGCCGTGTATAATATTTTTTTTAACATTTCCATCGCAGTATTGACCATCATCCTTGGTTGTGTATCGTGTAACACAAATAATGATATTAAAAGCATCAAACAAGCCAGACTCAGCTCCTTACCTGGGGTGTGGGCTGAGGAAGGGAGAAAACTGACCCCAAGATGCGCATGTCCTCTACCTCTGCTTGTTGCTGATGTGTGGCCCTAAAGAATCACAACCCCTCCTAACCTCTGCCTCTCTTCAGCAGTGAGACGTCTGTCCTACATGTCTCTAGGAGCCTAGGAAGTGGATATTTTGAAGGGTCCAAGGCAGGAAGGGGCTGGCATAGGGAGGAAATCAGGCCTCTTATACAGGGATGGGGCCAAGGCGAGTGATATCATAATGGGCACTGCCCATCCTGGAAAGGAAGCTGGGTGGAGTAGAAGCAGGAAGCCTCGGGGGAGAGATACTGAGAGATCCCCCAAAGGAGGGGTTACAGGTGGGAGGTGTGGGATATTTAGGGGAAGGGGTGGTCACTGATGTCCACCAGGAGTCCTTGACAGGCAGAGCCCACTACAGCATCCCTGAGACTCCATCATGTTCCTCTTCTCCCGGAAGACCAAGACCCCTATCAGCACCTACAGTGACTCCTACAGGGCTCCTACCTCCATCAAGGAGGTCTATAAGGACCCACCTCTATGGGCCTGGGAAGCCAACAAGTTTGTGACCCCAGTAAGTACAGATTGTGGGTAGGGTGGATATACAATTGTGTGTCTAGATGACTGGCATGTGGCTGTCCCTGTGTAGTTATTTTCAGTTTTTTTAATTTCATTTATGAATTTGTTTTTTGTTTTTGTTTTTTGTTTTTTTGAGACAGGGTGTCTCTGTGTAGCTTTGAGCTTATCCTGGCACTCTCTCTGGAGACCAGGCTGGCCTTGAACTCACAGAGATCCACCTGCCTCTGCCTCCCGAGTGCTGGGATTAAAGGCATGCAGCACCAACGCCTGGCTCATTTATGAATTTGTTTTGTTTACTTATTTATTGAGACAAGGCCTCACTCACTATGTAGCCTAGGCTGGCCCTAAACTTGTGACAGTCCTCCTACATCAGCCTCCCAAGTTGGCTGGGATTGCAGGCATGCCCCATGCCTAGCCATTTGGTGATTGCTTTGCATTTACGGCAGATTCTAATAACTCAGGCAAGCCTTAAACTTGTAATGTAGCCTAGGCTGGCCTTACATTCCTCATCCTCCTGCCTCGGCCTCTCACATTCTGGGATTATAGCATGTACATCACCATATCTGCCTTTATTTTTTTTGTCATTGTTCATTTTGTGTAGTGCTGGAAATCAAATCCAAGGTGTTAAGAATGCTAAGCAAGTATTCTATGCCTTGAATTTTAAGTATTATTTGTTTGCATCATATTGAATGCATCACATTCAAGACTGGGATTCAAACTCAGGCCCTCATGCCTACACAACAGATGCTATTACTCACTGAGCCATTGCTCCAGATTCTTAAGGTTTGCTATAAGGTCTCAGTAGCTTACTTACTCAGGCTACCCCTGAACTTGCTCTGTGTGCCTCAACCCTCCAACAGTTGGGATTACAGGCCTGCTCCCAGCTTCCTTTTCTGTATTTTATTCATTTTCCTAGGTACATCCAGCAGTGTATAAAATAGTATAGGGTTCTGTCCTCGTAGAACTACATGGGGGGGGTACTAATAAGAAAAAACCCACAATTTTCTTAAGTTGTCTAAAATGCTGTTCCGCAAATAAACATCATAATGGCAATGAGGGAAGCCCACTCCTACATGTCACAGAAGGCCTTTCTCTCAAGGTGACCTTGACCTGTAGCTGGAAAGATAGGGAAAAATGGGTGAAGAATTAAAAGAAGAGCTGAAAGTGCAAATGCTCTGGGGCTACCTGCAAAATGGGTCAGAAATGTCCAAGAGGCAATATCATTATGCATGGGCATTACATTCCCTTCTGTGTACACCGGGAGATAGAAGAGGAGCAATGGATGTGGGGAATTATAGTTTGTGGTAACAAAAAGAATTTATGAATAGGATTTTTAAAGTATTTTGTCTAAATATGCTCTGTAGAAAAGGAGGAGGGAGAACTTGGAGGATGGCAAACTGGGCCAAACTGGGCTGCATATGGATACCTGTTTAAAGCCCTACATCTCACATAAAGTTAATGGGTTTTTTAATTCTATTTTGAACAATCAAAAGACAGGATTGCCTGATAACAAATGCTAATACCAGCCTATGAGAGATGCTTATCTTAAACTAGCTGAAAGTAGAGGAACTACTGTGAGTTCCAGACTGAAATTCAAGGTTCAATGTCTCTGACTACACACACACACACACACACACACACACACCTCTGTATGCACACACACTCACACCTCCATACACACACACAACACACACACACACTTTCAGGCATACATGAATGCACACACCAGCAAACATACATACCTGCACGCACACACAACAAACACCTGCACATACACACCTGCATAACACACAACACACACCTACATGCACACACACACACACACACACACACACACACACACACACACACATCTACATACACACTCAACACACACGCTCATGCACAACACTGTATAACTTCTATGAGAGAAAATATCCTCACTGCAGGTCTTCAGGTATCCAAAGTGCTGCCAAATCAACATAAGTTCACAATAAGATATAAGACAATAAATCAGGGCTGGTGGTGTTGCTTGGTGGTAAATCACTTGCCTAGTCTGATGCACCCCCAACCCTGCTAAAAAGAAAAAGAAAACCAGGTGGTAGCACATGCCTTTGATCCCAGCACTCGGGAGGCAGAGGCAGGCGGATCTCTGTGAGTTTGAGGCCAGCCTGGTCTACAGAGTGAGTTCCAGGACAAGCTCCAAAACAATACAGAGAAACCCTGTCTCAGAAAAAGAAAAAGAAGGAAATATGATATGAAACCTTATCTGCATAATGAACTTGTATTTGCATTCTGTATACAAAAAATAATAATAGTTGCCTACCAAATGGTTCTGGGGTGGTGACTCCTGACTGACTGACCTGGTCTCTTGGACCCACATGGTGGAAGGAGAGGACAGACTCCTGTAAGTTGTTCTCCTGCTTCACACACACACACACACACACACACACACACACACACACACCCCACAAAATGAAACACAACAAAAATATTTTTGGCCCAGTGTGATGGTACACAAGCATGATAATGTACACCTTTAATCCCAGCATTCGGGAGGTAGGTGAATCTCTGTGAGTTAGAGGCTAGCCTGAGCTACACATCAAGTTCGAAGGCAGGACTACACAGAGACTCTTTCTCAAAAAAAAATTAAGTGGGGCTGGAGAGATGGCTCAGTGATTGCTGGGCAAACATGAGGACGTAAATTCAATTCCCAGCACCCAGTGTGAAGAGCCAGGTGCAGTCCTCACACCTGTAATCCCATGGCTGGAGAAGTAGAGACAGGAGGACCCCTGGGGTTTTCTGTCTAGTCACTGAAACTAGATTTCTGGGTTCAGTGAGAGACCCTGTCTCAAAAATAAGGCAGAAAATGATGGACATTGCCTTGGTCTTCACATAAATGACCATACATTTGCAGTTGCACACACACACATGATAAAGAATTTTTCAAACAGATATGAATTACATATATTCACTACAAAGTTATAAAAAGTCATAAATAGATGAATAAACAAAATAGCATAGTTCAAGAATAGACTCATACATATATGGAAACAATATTCAGCAAAAATGGTTGACAATAAAGCTATGGAAAAAGATTCATCAGGCTTGGGTGGCATGGCAAATCCATAGGGGAAGAATAGACTGCTTAGTAATAAAATTAGTTATTCATATGGATAGAAATAAAATTAATATATAACACCACACCCAAAATGAAAGTCCTGGAAGATTAAATATGGAAAGTAATACCACATAGCTTTCAGAAGAAAATACAGGACATTATTTCCATTATCTGAGAGTATGGATAGATGTCTTCAGTCATAAAAAGCATTAACCATCCAACAGATTAATAATTCAGCTGGTTTAAATTAAGAACTTCTGTTCATCAAAGACATCATAA